AATACAATAAGGAAATATTGAAATAGAATGTTTGTTCAACGCTTGACCCTTAGTATCGCTAATCTTAAATAATTAATATAGTTGATATAGTTGAAGAATTTCAACACGATAAAATGTTTTTCAAGCAAAATTTGAATATCTTCATCACTATTTATCAATGAAAAATATAATTAATAGCCGTAATGGTCAAAGCTAGATTTTTAATGCTTAAATATAATTCAATCTGAAAATTACTATATATACTATATATATATATACCATATTTGTAGTCGAACTGCGCACCGAATTGTTTTTCCGAACATATAAATTAAATTACTAGTAATTAAACGCAATTAAACTACTGTAGTAATATCACAAATTAAATTGACAAGCAATTTTTATAATTTAATGCTCGATCAGGCATCTTATTAAAAAGATGTTAATATGCTGAAAAACTGTAAAAAAATTTATTGCAAACAATAGCGAAAAATATTACCTTGGCTAGAAGTCGAACATGGATCTCTTGTATCCCGTATACTGAAAGAAAAGATTGGTTGCTAACAATTTAGATAGTACAATATGGCATAACATTTTTATATGGCTGCAGCAACCAGTTTTTGATTGTAGCAGCAAATTTTTAGTTGTGTTAACCTATCGAAATCATATACATTGCCGATAGGCTAACACAATTAAAAATTTGCTGCTACAATCAAAAACTGGTTGCTGCAGCCATATAAAAATGTTATGCCACATTTTGCTATCTAAATTGTTGCAGCAACCAATCTTTTTTTCAGTGTACGTCATATGAGCGTCATAAGCCTTTAAACTACCGAGGCAATTGATCACTATTTATCTTTTCTGTCCAATAAGGAATACCTTTAACCATTACCGCTTGCCATTATTTATTAATAAAATTATTATTAGCTATCGTTATATATTTCATTAATATTATCATTATTATTCGCCTCAAAATTATTGCTATTATTGCTACTGTTATTTATATATTTATTACTGCTGTTATATGTTGCTATTGTAATTATAATCATAATTATAATTTTATTGTTAATATATAATTATTATATTGTTAACATATAATAACTACCTACTAAACACCAACTAATATAATATCAATGTTATAATTTCACAGTCAACAATATAAATACAATATAACACATATTGTACATAACATTTACATTGTGAAATTATAACATTAATGTTATATTACTGCTAATTGGTGTTTACTAGATAATAAGTATGACAGCGGTCAACGATCATACAAACTTCCTTATATATATTGTTTTTTTTTATTTATGTACGGTAGCTTTTATTAGTCGATCCTTCGCAATAACTACTAACACTGTTCAATAAAATTCATGAAAAATCCTCTCTGAAGTGTGATAGTGCGTTTCGTGAAGATTTTTTCATGCTGAATAGATGATGTTGATATACTTGACATAACACGTCAAAATTTTGAGCAAATTGAGACAAAATAAAAAAACTGGCGTTTTTGGCCATATTCAACATTTTTACAAAATAAAAAAGTTGTTTCTAAATAAAATTTACGATCTATTTTAAAATATAATGCAAGAAACTTTCAAATTTTAATTCATGATCGTACAATTTTTCATCAAATTATATTGGAATTTAAATTTGTGTATAATTACACAGTTAACAAAAAAATCACTTTTTTTCTTCAAAGGGCCATAAATTCTGATGCGCTACGCAAATTCGGACAATAGCATCATATCCAATGCAAAAAATCTTCAGATTATGTATAGCATTTTGAAGAGAAAAAAGTGATTTTTTTGTGTAATTATACAAATACAAAATTTAAATTTCAACATAATTTGATGAAAAACAATCACTTGATGAAAATAAGTCATAAACTAAAATTTATTTGAAAACTTTTGAATTATACTTTTAAATGTAAACATTATGTAAACATTATTTAAAGACAAAATTTTGTTTTGTAAAAAAAAATGTTAAAAAGTGCTGTTTTTATTTTGCTTCAATTTTACTTCAATTTAATGAAAAATTGACATACTACATCAACTCTGCCAATGCTATTGGTCAGCTCGAAAAAAATCTTCGCAAAATATATTATCACATTTCGAAGAGAAAAAGAAGTGCTTTTTTGTCGAACAGTGTAATCGTCAACATTGACTATATAATTAACGACGCAAAAAAAAGAGATTTTTTTATATCTTCTCTCTACGAGAGAGACTGATGATATTCTTCTCATGAGGGAAACCGATGTTGTCATCGTTACTAATGAAATAAGAAGCGCAACCTTGGACCAACTCCAAATCGTTAAAATGCCATTTCCATCTGCCAAGTGTGAATAGAATTATAATGCGAACGCGAATAATAATATTGTATGAAAAGCGAAGCTCCTTTTAGATTGTTCGCAGAATTATAGATAGATAATAATTACATATGTATTATAATTCTTTTGAATATTCTCTTTTGATTCTGCGATATGGATGCGTATAGAACTATTTCAGCCACGTATATAAAAAATGTCTTAAATCAATTTTCAAAATATACATGAATTATTACAATCATTTCATTGGTAGAATTATTTTCTCAAGTAGCAAGATGATGTTTTAAGGACATTTTATTCATGTTAAAGATGTCATTAAGATATTATTAAGATGTCATTTTTTGACACCACCTCGCTATTTGGACTATTAATTATTGACATGCTACTGCAAAGCTCATTAATTTAAATTTATGCATCGTGAGTAACTATAATTAAAAAATTGTTAATGAATATATATATATTGTTTCTTAATCATGTAAGAGATTAAATTCGTACATTTTATAAATTTCGAAAAAAAATACTCGTCACGCATAAAATATATAAATCTAGAATGTAAGACAAAAATTAAATAAGAAAATAAATCAAAAATTAAAATTTTTATTAGCACAAACGTAGTAGATAAATTAAACGGTGATATCAATAGTATATGATATAATTGTAATTTTTTTACAACGCGCTCAATGTAATGCGATTCGTCTATAATATGTACTATAAAAAATTTTTCGGCAGTTAATAAAAAACAGGCTAATTTAAAATTTTAAAATTAGTTTTAATATGTAAAAAAAATATAAAATATGAAAATAATTATTATTTTTAGATACTTTTTAATTATGTCAGTGTTCTATGCAATTTTATTATGCATAGTCATACAGTTTATAAATCGATATTTTATTTATTTATCAACTCATAGGCATACACATATATATGTATTATTATGATAAGACGTATATATATTTTACTTAAGCATGCAGAATTCGAAAACTACAATTAATTGTCATATGTCTGTACGTCAATTTGTTTTGAAAGATGAAAAATAACAAAAAAAGAAATACAAAAAATACATAATAAATATGTTTTTAAATATAATATGTAAATATAATATTTTAAATATAATATGACAGCACACTTGTGTTGTCTCGACGAATTCTTCTATAAGATCGAGATTATAAATTTTGATATAATTTCCAATACCCAATCAGAAATGACAATGGAATCGACATCAAATCGATGTCGAACTCATCAAACGTCGATTCGACATCGATTCCATTGTTATTTCCGAATAGTTTTGCACAAAATAAGCACAACGAAATGATCTTGATGTTATCAGAAAACTAAGGTGCTTTCAACGAGAACAAGATCATTTATCTCATAATTAGATGAATGGTTTGCAAAATATCGTCAATTAATTACAAAGAGAAAGTACTGATACTGCCTCGAAAGTCTTTGTATTTTTTAATTAAAATTCACTCTTATTTAGAAAATAATAAAGTTATTCAGAGATTATTCGTTTACGTGGTTAATATTCAATTACAATTAATAAAAATTTTGTTTATAGCGAACAGTTTATTCAAAGCAAATGCGTTAAAGATTGATCAGAAAGCTATATTGAGCTTTCTGCCTGTAAATACCAAAATTAAATTAGAAATGCTTTAACATTGCAAAAATTGAATAATTTTAGTACACATATAATTAATTTATTGTCTCCAATTCAATTTCTTAATCCTAAATTAAATGTAGCGATCAGAATTTTTATTCGAAAAGAGGAAAGGACAAACAATATTTGAGTATCAAAGACAAAACTATACACAATTGAGATGTATATGTGCACATATAAAACTACACACAACTATATATATCTTTATATATCTATATTAAATATAATATGCATGCGATAATCAATTATTAGTATAATATACCCCCATATTCTAAAATATTTAATAAGGAAGTTAAGGAAGATTCTCTCTCTCTCTCTCTCTCTCTCTCTCTCTCTCTCTCTCTCTCTCTCTCTCTTCCCCCCTCTCCTCCTCTCCCTTCTCTCTTTCTCTCTTTCTCTTTCTCTCTTTCTCTTTCTCTCTTTCTCTTGCAGGTTATCTTCAGGTTAACATCATAAATGCATCCATCATTTAATGCATTATACGATAATTTAACAAAGTATTAAGACATGGAAATAACCCGCAAACCGCGTAGCTTCTTTGAAGGAAACATCCGTTAAACATATTAATCGTAATAAGGAAGATTTCACTTATTAGGCGTGACGTCATTATGTACGCAAAAAAACTGATTAATATGATGTATACACTTCGTGTACAGACTTCATTTTTCATAACATAATATATCGCAATTTCATTCACATAACAAACAATTATCTACTGTTTTCTTTTTCGGAATAATTAATTTATGTTTCTGCGTACTTTTCTGACGACATTAATGACGTTAATGGACTTTCTTCTGTTGACGTTTAATTATATTTCCTGTTGATTTATTTAATCTCTATTTATTTAATCTCTATTTATTTAATCTCTTTTTTTTTCTTAAACTATTGAGATTATAATCGAAAATAGGCTGACACAAATAATTATACTTTTTTTAGTCGAATCG